TGGCTAGTGTGGCATAACTACAGACTAAGTGAAGTTCTGAAAAGTGTCATTGCATATTTGAAAATAACATTTTCAGCTGTGAGCCTATGATTGGACAATTTTCATGTAATCACATCCTTACGTTTTGTCTTCACACTGAGCTAAAATGTTTGCATCTGAAAAAAGTAAGTACAGCACATGAAAAAAATCTCAAATGAAAATCAACATACATCATCACATGACAGAGTGATTTGTGTATCTTAAATGGCTGTGATGAATGAAAAACACCACCTGCTGACAGGTGGTAATTGTGCTCCAGAGGCATTTAATGCCAGTGACGTCTGATTAATCACTATGGGTCCATATGGCAATCATACAAGGATCCCATCTGGAGGCTGACTTCAACATATTAAACAAAAACACATTGCCAGTGGCATCTTCCTTTTCATTCTTTCCCTCCTGCATGTCAGTTTGCAAGTACCAGAGCTTAATTATCTGTTCTCAAAGTCCTGCACGCTTCAGAGAACAGAGAGGCTTCAAGTCAGCTGAAGAAAGTTTCTTTAATTCTTGTTAGAACTTCTTCCAGATGATTGTTAAACATACTAGCTTTTAAGAGTTGTGTTATTAAGCGCCACAGATGGACCAATTATTATCTTACAACTGATATTCACTAGGAGACTCACGACTTAATGTTGTGTCACTGTGATTACAAGCAATATAGCTAATGAGAGCTGCCAGAGATTTAGAGACATTTTTTCACACCATATCAAACTACCTAATTATTTCAGTCAAATATCATAGGCGATGACTCCCATCACATAGAGAGGGAAGAATTCTGCATTTAACTGGGATCCAGAGATTGACTTGCCTGGTTAACATTACTGGCGCAGCCAGACATAAGTTCTATGTATGTATGCAAATAAAGCTTGACATTTGTTTATTGCTGCTCGATGTGATGGAAAGGCTGTGAAGATTTTACCACATCGGGGAAATTCAGATATTGTATTTTTTGTGTGTTGTATGTGTAAAGACTATAGTTACACAGAGGGATCTGTGAATGTGTAATGTTTGACTGTGAAATTTAGAGCTCTTCTGTATATACTAAAAAAATATGATCAGTTTTTAGTGTTTTTATACCCTTTTGGTCGCCCACAATATTTAATATTCAGTTCCAGTATTCACAGCGTGTGCTGGTGAGGAGCAGAACATAAAGCATTTTCATAGACACACAAACAACATGCCAATACCAAGTAAAACTACTGAAAATAAAACTTAAAAAAGGCAATGTTCCTTTACAAGAAAGTGCTGTATCTGATTTCAAGTCGTTTTATTTACCAGCTGGCAGCAGTGTCTCGGCCGCGGCTACAAACATCGCTGTAGTTCTAATAATAAGAGCAGAATTGAGATGTATGAAGTTATCATCATGACGTAATATCACTCCATGAGCTTTGTTCCACAGATAATTTCAGCACATGATTACTGTCTATTTCTGATACTGTGATTCAGAAGCTCAGCCCATTTTAATCTGCATTGTGGAGGTGGATTTGAGGTAAGAAGATTTATGCTGTTGACTGCTGCATCTCTGCTACACTCTAATCTGTGTAATGGGTTTCAAACAGAAGACACTAATGCTGTGATAATGCTCAAGTTGTTTTAAAATGCTATTCAATGGCACACTAGCAGGCAGGAGTGGAACCTGATACTCTATGGCTCCTCCATCAATGTGCAGGAGAAGAGATGGAGACCATGTTTACTTCACTACTCTGCTTTCATGACTTCACTGTAAAACTCTGCAGAAATTGTGCAAATAATCACATTAAAGATATCAGAGTGCTGTATTTATCTCGGTTTTCTTTTCCTCCTCTATAGAGAAGCCAGAGTGCAGCACAGCTTGACTTTGTTAAATGTGCTCCATCGGTATACAGAGGAACTTTACCTGAAGTCACAGCCTCCATAATTGTACTGTGGCACCCTGCTG